TGCCGCATGTTGTATTTTATTTTTTGTTAATTTCATACTAACAGAAGATGAATTAGCTCAGTGGATATTCCTTTCCCCACCCTTGACATAGTTAAAATAATTGTATTATCGTTATAAATTAATCTTCTATATCTTCTTTTTTGATTGTTTTTCAAGACAGGGCTTCTCTGTGTAACAGCTCTGGCTGTCCTGGAATTCACTTTGAGTCCAGGTTGGCCTTGAACTCACAGATCTGCCTGCCTCTGCCTCCCAATTGCTGGGAATAAAAGCATGTGCCACCATTGGCCAGTTTGCTTTATTTTCTATCAAAATTCATTTAAATATTGCTATGGGAATGAAAAAATAAGGACTTTAAATTTTAAGTCAAAGGTGCAAAAATTTGTACACATTGTCCAATACTAATTTGCCATATATCTGTGAAGTAATCCTAGGCATTTAGATTACTAGTTAATTTATATAGTTTTCCCCATTATCTTCAGTAACCACAAATAAAGTTTCACACAAAATATTGGGATTTTTACTCCAGTATCAACAGAAACCTTCCATTTGATGATGAGTCATCCCTCAAGATTACATAATTTGGGGGAATTTTGAATACCGAGAGCTTGTAGGGACTCTATACGAGCCATGTGACATATAAATTCTTACAAAACTAAGATTATAAAATTAAATTTTGGTTACCATTTTTCTTTTTCTTTTTTTGCTACCATTTTTTCTATAAGAATTAATTTAGAAGTTAACTGTTGCCTCATAAATTAGAGGTTTGGGTTATAAAATTGTTGCTGTGTTCTAATTCATTTATATTTTCATTTTTACTTTTTATTGTTTTGAGATAGAGTCTCACTGCCTGCTTCACCACTTGAGTTTTGAGATTAAAGGTGTGCACCACCATGCCCAGCTTGTTCTAATTTTTTAAAGATTTGTTTTTTTTTTTTAATTTCCCATTATCTCTTAAAAAGGAGATAAGGAAAATAAATGATAGGTATGTTTGTAGTTGGAATTTTCTTTGGGCCACCAACCAGCTTCCAAATAAAAACACAGAGACTTACTATTAATTATGAAAGCTTGTCCTTAGCTCAGACTTGTCCCAGTAGCTCTTTTAACTTAATTTAACCTGTTTCTATTCATCACCTTTGTTCTTTCTACCTTTCATTCTCTATGCCCCACTTTCCTGCTTTTTCCTTGTCTAGCTAGCTGGCCCCTGACATCTCCCTGGTGTCTCCTTTTTCCCCTTGTAGTCCTATATACCCTCCCTGCCTGAAAGTTCTGCTTATACCTCCTCCCTCAATGTTGGCCATTCAGCTTTTTATTAGACCATTCAGTTGCCCTAGGCAGGCAAGGTAAATTAGCAACACATCTTTGCATAATTAAACACAACACATTTTTACATAGTTAAACAGATATTCCACAACATGTTTTTGAAAATATTAAACATACTCAAATTCACAATAAGTTGTGTTCCATTTTGAAAATGCCAAATATATGAAAACTCAAATTTGCAAAACAAAATTAGGATCATTGTTATATAACGATTCAATTTATCAGTCTGTTCAAATTTTCTGTGATGTGATTTCTTTTCTTTAGGCATTATGTATTTTAAGAAAGTTTATGTGTAACTTTCAGAGAACATCTATATGAAGACACTATGCTTATGATAGAGCTGTTATACATATTGTGCCCTAGATGTTCAAGAAATTTACATTTTTTATTTTCTTAAAAGCTCCTTTTTAGGCATAGAATATTACAGTAATAGTAATTACCTATTAGTCCAATTTTGTAAAGTATAGGTAGTGGACATTGTTTTTCCTACCTCCACAAATCTGTATTTCTTATTTTATAAATCAGAATATTTCACACTTTCTTGATTTGCAATGCCATCGGTTTCTAATTTTCATGGCACACCTAGAAAGAATTTTGTCCATTAAGCAGTTATGAGCAAACAATTTATATGTAAATGTTTACCTTGTGTTCAAAGAATATTACTTAGAAACTGAAGAATGTTTGCTTTTCATCCATATCTTACTATAACTCTACTTAGGTACCTATTCCTTCTGAATCCTGCAGAACTTCTTAGATCCTTTAAGTCATATTTGTTGATTTGTATATCTCCTGGGAAGATACGATACAGTGTTTGGGAACTGTGGTCATGGCCCTAGATATTTATTGAATGCTTGCATAAGTCATATATTGTGTACACAGTGCTTATTGAGAAAGTGCTGGTCCATATCTTTGTACTGCTTACTGTCCATAGAAAATGCATGATTGAGCAATAATTGTTTTGAGTTCTTTTTAAGAAAACATTATGGGGTTGGCTAACCCTTGGGAGAAAGATGTCACTTTTAAAATTCATGGATTCATAAAACATATTTGTAACACAAATGCTATAAACTCTGATAGATATTGGGGTTCAATCTGAAGACCAGAAAAGCAAAGCAGCCAAGTTACAGAGAGCTCTTACCTCCACCAGGGCTGGGGCGATTGTGTCCTCAACTTGGCTGGAGACTAATAGCCAGAATACATCATGAGACACTGAACTCCTGTCTTGCATACCTTCCTACTGCTGGGATTAAAGGCTTGAGCTCTGTTTGTCTTTTAGACTGATTCACTCTCATGTAGCCCTGTGTGGCCTTGAGCTCACAGAGATCCATCTGCCTCTGTCTCCTGAGTCCTGAGATTAAAGGTGTGTGCCACCTCTGCCTGGCCTCTATGGCTTTGGCTATCTTTGCATTCTGATTCTTCAGGCAAACTTTATTAAATCGTAAATAATATATCACTACATGTATTATACATGCTGATGTGTTTTGATTTTAGCTGGCTTTTTTTAGGTCAGTCACTTTCCCCAAATGATTTGAATTTAAATATTCTTAGCTTTCAAATTGAAACTTTCTTCATTAGATTAACTGTGCTTGATAATATTCATTATAAAGAGTTGTGAGAAATGGTGTTTTGAGTGAAGATTTTCACTTTTATGAGTAATTGAAAAACTGTAACAACATATAAAAACTAGATCTTTTTTAGAGTAACAGTTACATTGAAATCTAGGTACACTTAGGATTGCTCTGAACAAGTGTGTCCAAAATGAAACAGTTAACATTAGTGTACAGCATGACCACCCAGACTCCATCTCCTTGCACATTTCATTTGTCAAGGTTCTGCAATGGCAAACAAAGCTGGTGTCAAGCTGCTCACTGGTCCTCTTTTAGTGCTAAGTGTTCAGAGACAAAACTCAAAGTTGAATTCCTGTTCTAGACCTTTGGGATATTTGAAAGACAACCATGTACCTGAATGTTAAATAGTACTTTAAACAGATGTTTCCTTCTGGTCACAGGTATTCTTTAAAGAAATTTTCCTATACATTTTGGAAACTTCTACAAGCTCATTTGATCATAAATGGATGGTTATTCAGACACTGACAAGGATCTGTGCAGGTATTTGGAATTAGTCTTCATTATTTCCTGTAATGAAATGCGTTCATATTCTAGATGCTCATATTCTAAGATTATTGTATCATCACAGATGCTCAGAGTGTGGTGGATATATATGTAAATTATGACTGTGACTTAAATGCAGCAAATATATTTGAAAGACTAGTAAATGACCTGTCAAAAATTGCCCAAGGAAGGGGCAGTCAAGAACTTGGTATGAGTAATGTTCAGGTAAGAGTTTGTTTTTTTTTTTTGTTGTTGTTGTTGTTTGTTTTGGGGGGGGGTTGTTGTTGTTTTGAATTAAAATTTTCTAAAATGAAGCATGCATTTTCTTAAAAGGTCTTTTTGTCTTTATCCTATGTCTAAATTATTACAGGAATTGAGCCTTCGGAAGAAAGGGTTAGAATGTCTAGTTTCAATTTTGAAATGTATGGTTGAATGGAGTAAGGATCAGTATGTAAACCCCAACTCTCAGACTACCCTTGGTAAGATAACATTTTGAGTTTAATTCTCCACTGTTTTATGTCCGTGATACATTGGAAGATATTTAAAGATACTATTAAAGTAATCTTGTATTTATTTACGTACATACATTTACAATTCTTTTTTAAGCATTGAAACTATTTTCAATTTACACTTACTTAAATTTGCTTGGTTAGTTGCCCTAGCAATATAAAGAGGAGACTACTATAATCTTCTTTATTGACATTTCTTCTTACAGGTCAGGAAAAACCCTCAGAGCAAGAGATAAGTGAAATCAAACACCCTGAGACTATAAACAGATATGGAAGTTTAAATTCCTTAGAATCCACATCATCATCAGGAATTGGCAGCTACAGTACACAGATGTCTGGCACTGATAATCCGGAACAATTTGAGGTCCTAAAGCAGCAAAAGGAAATAATAGAACAAGGGATTGATTTGTAAGTGTCAGATTCAAAAAAGAAATGTTACAGAATACCTTTCAGCCACAGATGTGCCACCCTGCCCCCGTTTCCCTACATCTGTTTTTTATTTATTCCTTATTTTTCTCTTAGATCTAAAATTCAATGTTTAGTTCTCCTTCTTTATTGAAGTCTAGCTCAAGCAGATTCAAACCCAACCTGTGGTTTCCTCAGAATTCACCTTGTACCATATATCACAGGCTATTGATGAGCAGAGAATATGTAGTTTTTCACTGTTTCAGTTCATCTAATTTCATAATCACTCAATGAAAATGTAAAATTTGAAAATGCCAGTGTTTAGCATTGTTCCTTTTAGGTTTCTGTTTCCTCAAGTTTAGTTACATGTTTCATTCTTGCTAGGAATTTTATTTTTATTTGTTAATATTAAGCAATCATTTCCTGTCCCAACCTGGCTACTCTCCCAGACTCTGAACTTGTGAATCAATTTTCCTGCCAAATTTTGTGAAGCAGCCTACAAAAGATCTACAAAACATTCCTTTTACGTTTTCCTTGTTTAACCTACAAAATAATGGGTTTCCTTCTTCTTTAGATTAAAATCTAATTACATCACTTTCCACCATCCCTTCCTCCCCCAGCCCCTTTCATGTACCCACCCCCTTGCACCTTCTCAAATTCATGGCCACTTTTTCTTTAATTAGTTCTGATATATGCATATATGCAAACATATGCACATACATAACACATATGCATACCTAAATGTATAAACATAAGCTGCTCCGTTCATTTAATGTTGGTTGTATATATATGATTTCAGGGCTAACCACTTAGGTTCATCCTTGGGGAAGAATATTTCTCCCAGTTTTAGCATTTTTTAGGTGTCTGTAGTTCTTTGTCTATGGGTGGGGCCCCATGATATTCCCCCCTTACATGTTGGTACTGCTATTCAGGGTTTCATTAGGTCATTTTATATACACATGTACACACACTCATACACACAATCATAATTTGCTCATATTTGTGGCCTTCCTGCCTTGTTCCCCTTTCATTCATCCCTACTGTTCCTCTCTCTCTCTCTTACACACACACACACACACACACACACACACACACACACACACACACACGCACGCACGCACTTATTTAGATTCTTGCATATGAGAAATTTGATTTTTGTTGTTCTTCCTCCTATGTTCTCTAGTTCCTTATTGTAGTGTTGTTTTCTTAGGCCTCTTATGGCTAACTGTACTGGAATCGTTTGTTACCTGGGTGTGTTTAATATTCTTTTCAGACTAAACTGTAACTTTCAGTATCCTCTGTAGAGCTGACTTAGTGAACATAAATTCTTTAAATCTGTTTTTATCATGATTTTCTTCTTGTTGATTGTATCTTAAGTACAGTTAGATAGCTGTTGGTTACTGTCAAAATACGAATGTCACTATTATACCCATAGGGTTATTGTACCAAGCTGGTTGTTGTAGTTCATTGGAGCTACAGCTGGGTAGGACTGCTAGTTAAGTTGATTCACTACCTTGGAAGGCATAGTACCTTCTGATACCTTGACAGCTAGTCCTCAGAGAGGAGGCTTTCAGGTTAGATCCATCTAGGCTCCTCCAAGTTGTTTCCACAGAACATGATGTCTTCAGCAATGATTTACCTTCAACCTCTAGGAGGCAACTAAGGACAACAGCTATAACCTGTCATATTTAGAGTCTGTTGGACTCCTGACCAACAGTTTGAAAGGGGGCATCTCATACTTGACACTGGAAAAGTTTGTTGGTTTGATTTAAGAGCTTAAGATGCTTTTCATTGGCCAGTATAAGTTCAGAAGTTGGTCACTAGGTCTTGTCCATTGCAACCTCATGGGGACATTAACAAAGTCAGTGAGCAAAATTCTTCAACATTATGATTAATGTTAAATCCTGTTTAGTAAGGTGAAACAATTATTTAGCTGGCTAGACTGTGTATCAGAACCTTCATACCAGAAGAACCCTGTAGAATAATAAAGAGAAATGGCCTTCACTGTATTTAGATTGACATAAGTAATTTTTGGAAATGAAAGTGTATCTGCAATCAGTTTTCATTACATCTGACTGCTGCATAAGGACTGAACACCTAGAAGCTTTATAACAGAAGTAAATTCTTAAAGTAACTGTCCTATTGGCAGTGCCTTAGCAGCAACAAATGCCTCTGCTCATGAACCAGCTGCAATGCCCAGTTGAGGTGGACAGTATGGGCCAAACCTGAGTGAAATCCAGGTTCCATAGGTTGAAGTCACAACCAGACATCAGCATCTAATTGACAACCTAAGAAAGATATAAAATACCATTGGATTTTTTTTTTTAATAGAATTGGCCAGCAATAACCCAGAGACACCACTTGGTTATCCAATAATTTCTAAAACCTACGAGTTTGACAGCTTTTTGGAAACCTCCTTCAATCATGTAACATGGGTTGTTAAGGTACAGAAAGATACATGCTGTGAGAAGTATGCTTCCAGAAAGAGTTAGTGTTTTATAGTTGGTAAATCCAGTTTTATTTTACTGTATTTAAGATTTGGTCTCAATATTTAAGAATATAGGCTCATTCTTAGATTTAGATAGACACTGAAGTGCTGAAATAAAACAGCACTTGTCCTATATCTAATTCTTTACATACCTTATATATTTTAGTAAGACCCTCAAAATTTATAGAAGCCATTAAAGCCTTTTTTTCTATTTTGGAAATAAACTAGCTATTTTAATCTTCATGTACAAGTATTTTATTACTATAATTTTTACACCTTAGCATCTTACTATTTTTTTGATACCTTGTGACATAGTAATTCCAACAAGGAAGCACACTATCTTTTGTGAGAATTAGGGGTTGGGGGTGGTTAAGCAGTGTCTATCCCTTCTTTGTAAAATTCCGACGACAAATTTGGTTTTACCAAAGCTCACTCTGGGGGACCAGCAAGTTATTCACTGGCGCCCACATACGTACGTACGTACGTACGTACGTATACACACACACACACACACACATACACACACACACACACCCTCACCCTCACCCTCTCACCCCTTGTCTGCTTACTCTCTCACCCCAGATAGGGAGCCCACAACAGATCAAACAAAGTTCAAATACGACCAAAGTCCAATTTGGGGAACCATGCATTTTATTGGGGTTACTTTCAGGAGCAGAAATGACTGAAAGACCGCTGCATCACCAAAAGACCACCCCAGCATGTATAACAGCTCACAAAAGCTAGGAACCTAGAGCTCACTGTACATCCTGTAGGTAGCTCAACAGATTGGAAAGTGGTCTCACAGTCTCAGGGTCTTCTTCATACTTGGCTTCACTGAGAGGCCCCTCTGCAGTTGGCTCATGTACTCCTGAAGGACAG